TCGGTAACATTCCTTTTTCATGGATTGCTAGGCAACCTATGCCTGCCCCTGCGTCAGTGGCAGGGCCTGTGCGCCAGGACAAAAATGATGTGTCCTGTAATCGGGACAGACCGATGCACACCATTGCCTGCCACGAGAAGAACGCGGCAGACTACCGTTTACCGTTTAATTAAAGGAGTCGCATAGCGACTGCCGCTGCCAACGTTGTCCACCGTGGGCTCCGCAGCGTAGCGGGCGTGGGGGGCGGTAATTTGTTCGTGAATTAATTTACAATGGCGGTGGACTTTCACCGCATCTACCGCACTCTCTCCCAGCTCACCCTCCACGGCCCAAAGCCAAAAAGAAGTAGTAGGGGGAGGCAGAGTCGGGCACAGTGGCTAAAAAAGCTCAACGGTCCGTCTGCGCGTGCCACACACGTGATCGACCAGAATTCCACCAAAACAAGTAGGGGACATCTCGAGTCCAGAATACGTGAGAGTGCTAAGATAGCCACACTGAGAAGGAGCCATTGCAGCTGGAATTTCCCTCCTGGTAGAAGAACCGGATTATCCCATTAGTTGGCACCCTCCCAAGTCACGGCTTTTAGCGCACCGCGGTAATTTAAAAGTGCATGAGATTGTTTATTGTGAAGAATACGCGCTGAGTGCCGTGGGAACGCGGTCCACAGAGTCGGCCTCCCGGCCTCTTCCGTCTCCCGGACATCAGCCGGGGCGGGGCGTGGACTCATTGAGCAGCTTTCAAGTAGGCCAGCGGGAGTCTACAGTCGGAAAATGAAGTCTGGGGAGATAGACTGCAGGTAGTTGTGCATTTTGCGTCCTACGGCGTCTCCATTTCCAATGAGAGGAGAAAACTCTCCCAACGTGGACATCGGCTGTCCCCACCAGTTGGTTCATTTAGACACTGAAAGTGTAGTTGCCCGAAAGTGATCAGTCAAGGAGACTGCTAAATCACTTTTCACAAGGACCCAACTGCGAAAAACTCAGCGCCTCGGTGGGATTCGAACCCACGCAGTAAGGGGCAGGCTTTACTACAGCCAACGCTCTAACCGCTTGGGCTACGAGGCCCCGTCGGACAACATGAGTTTAATCGCGGTTGGGTCAATATGAATTATTCAAAGTCTGCCAAAACATATATGAATTACGTGAGCCTGGTAGTCATCTGGTGGATTCTAGGTGAATTGCTTAGGAAATCCTGTTTGGGCAGTCAGCTTTCCGTATCCGATTTGGTGGATTCCGGACGTTGCAGTAGGTTGGGCGGGTAACTTGACCCAAATGTGATTAAACTCGCGTCATCCGGCGGGGCCTTGTAGCTCAAGTGGTTAGGACGTTGGTTATACTAAAGCCTTCCCCTTACTGCGTGGGTTCAAATCCCACAGAGGCACCGAGTTTTTCACAGTTGGGTCAATATGAATTATTCAAAATCTGCCACAACATCTATAAATCACTTTTGGGAAATTTTGGCCTATAATTCAAAATAAATGCAAGCTGGGAGACTATGAAAAAGTAAACACACGATTCCACTGCTTAACCAGACGCCTCCTCTTCTGTTTATGCTACAAACAAAAAGGGACCCAGAGAAAACACTAAATTTCAGTGCGGTTAGCAAGCAGCCAAACACAAGCGCTTGCAGATGACCTGTGCTGAGAGAAGAACAGACAATCCGGTTAAAAATACCAGAAGTCAGTTTCGACTCCTCTGAAACTTCAGCCGATTTGCGACGAGCTTTACCCCTTTTCGGATAAGGCAATTTCGACGAAATGATCATATTAAATCTCATGACTTGTTATTCAGTTGTATACCGGCATAGGAAAGCCTTCAGCTGACGGCTGTCTTTAAAAACGAATACATTTGCCGCCAGTCCGTCTTTTAGCTCTTGAGGAAAAAGTTCCTCCAAACGTAATGATCAGGAAGGCGTTTTCCGCAAATTTCATTTGTATACTTCCCGAACGTGGTGCATTTTCGAATCGTCTGCTCAGGTTGAAAATAGTTTTGTAGGGACGACCAGTCGTACAGATAGAGGAGTATTGTTCTGGAAAATCTAGGAAGTTTGTACAGAATGACTCATCACAAGAAGCACGTACTGAAATGCTAGAAAACTTAACTAAACCATACCATAAGGTGGAAAAAATGGGTATGTGCACTGTGTAAGGAAATTCCACCTGGTAGAGGGGCGCTCACCGATCGTTTTACAAAACTCGCTCGTCCTCTTGCGCCATACGGGCTCTCTCGAGAGCCCCCAGCAGCCGGACAGCGGTGCATGATATATAGGCAGAATGCTATTACCGGCAAAGAAAGGGAGACCGGAATGGCCATTTCTGGCTTATTAGCCGTCGTCAGCCAAATGTCGGCAACGCCATTTTAGTCCAAAGAAATGAATGTCGAGACTTCCTTCTCAAGTTCGATAAGGAAATGCAAGCATAGACTAAAATAATAACCACTACACACAACTCCCCCCCCCCCTCGGAAAAAAACCCCGGACTGTAGTGAATTTCGGTGGATCCCACAACTCCCAACCCCATTCCTACGTCACTGCTGAATGCTGTTCGTAATGTCCGCAGGGGTGGTACCAACAGGACCAATCCGCCAATACTGTCATCCCATAATAACGTGCACATTTTTAAACTGTGCATCTCCTAGGCCCTGCATCCTTTAAGAACTAAAGGTTGCCTCTATAGCCATACGCCCCTATCATTAAACTTTGTACGAAATTACTAAACGTAAATACTATTGTGTTGAGATATGCAGTTAGGATGTTTTCCTTTTCTTCGACTCTGTGGTGCACACTGCTACCAATCGCACAAATAAGGGGGAGATACTTTCGAATACATCAATACCGAGATGGCGATCCAAGCGGCGACTGAGCCAGTGCGGCCGAAAAAAAATTAAGATGGTGAACATGCTGTCGAAAATATCATTCGTGAGGCTGATAACCAAGGCAGGCGTCGGTTCAACGAAAGTAATTAGTAAACATGCAAGCACGGGTGTAAGCGGTGGTGTTTATACTTTGGTCTTGCCGTAAAAACTTATTTGGAACCGGTAGCCGTCTCAAATTAAGCATAAATTCAGTTGAGTCCCTTAGTTAGGTTGGGACGCGCACTCGGTTTCTCTTAAGAAGAGTTTAGTCACGGGCATCCTTCAAAAAGACGTGGAGATACCGGAACGCCCGAAGGAGTTGCACTCACACATTAGCAAAATTTTCGCGCGTGCTGCGAAACAGGTGAACGAAATGTATATGCCCGGTTTTGGCAGAAGATATTCCCTCCTCCTTAGGCCCTTCACTGAAAGCAGATAAGGTCGTTGTCCCCAGTCACGCGCAACCTGAAAACCAACAATCCGAAAACCCCTCGACCAATTGGCGAATAGCTGGCATCAACCGAAAGATGCTTCCTGCGGCAAAGATAATTGGGGTTAGGATGTTTGCCCTACTCCTCCTCTTTCGTAATCTTACTGTAGGAACACGCGAGAGTCCGATCATCGCTTTCGACGATGGCCGCTGTGGGCTCCACAGCAAGGCGCAGCAGGGACGGTGACTTGTGTGGGAGTTATTTTATAGTGATAGTAAACTTGCACAGCATCTACCGCACTCTCTCTCCCCACTCCCCACCTGGAGCCGGTGTCCAGGCAGAGTCAAGAAGACCGGAGGTAACGGGAGGGGGCGCAGGTGACCGGCACGGCCGGAGCCGCACCTAGGCGTGCCACCACACCCCTTGGTCCGCACAGAAAATGATCAGGATTTCACTCCAAAAACGACAGCAACACCCCAGCATGGGTCAGAACGACGGATATGACAAGGCAACCATGCCCATCACCTGTGTACCTATTGGGGGCGCAAGGCCATGGTTTGGTGATACTGCCACAGCACACGCTTACAGACCATTTGACTTTACCGTGTCAACACTTAGCAAACAAACACGACAGTTCGACCATCGATTTCGATGATGTCCACCGTGTGCACCACAGCTGCAGCAGCGGTGGGAGCAGGGACGGTGACTTACGCAGGGGTTAATAGTGCCGGTAGACTTGCGTAGCATCTACTTACACTCCCTCCTCCTCCTCCTCCTCCCCCACCTGAGCCCGGTGTCAAGACAGAGTCAAGAAGACCGGAGACGAGGGAGGCCGCAGGTGGATGGCTCGGACGGATCCTCACCTTGGCGTTCCACCACACCGCCTAGTCCACACAACAAATAACCAGGATTTTAACCAACAAAACAGGGTTTGGAGGCTGGCACAACCGAAGCCGCACCTAGGCGTGCCGCCAACGCCTGGCTCGGATCCCACACTGTGATGGCAGTGCCATAAAGGCCACATTAAAAAGGAGCCATTGCAGCCTGACTCTCAGACCGCCTCCAGTGAAGGAGGAGGTCCAAGTTACCCCGTCAGTTGGCAACCTTCCAAGCCACAGCTTTTAGCGCACCGTGATAGCTTCAAGCGCGTCAGATTGTTTATAGTGAGGAAAGTGCGCTGAGTCGTCGACCTCACTCTCCCTTCCCATCCCTACACCCCAGCCGCTGTCCGAGCCGGTCAGCAGACTGGAGTGGGAGATGGGCGCGGTGGCTGGCACGGTCGACTGACCATGCCTGCGCGCGCCACAGCACGACCTGGCCCCCCATACGCACACAAGCACCAGGATTTCACACAACGGGGGTTGAACGGCGTGTCTCTCACTTGCGTGAGAGGGCCGTGGAAGGTGCTGCTTCAGCCCGTCCCCAGCCCGCCAGTCCGCCACTCTACACAGCACACACACACAACGTGACGAACTGCATGAACCGAGAACGGGCGTCAATCAGCAACCTTCCTATCCACGACACTTGACGTGTCGGGATAGTCTCGGATTCAAGTCACCCGTGCAGCCGAAGCCGCATGGGGACCGAGTCGAGATGCACACTTCCCACTTGCGTGGAAGGTGGCAGTTGGTGCATGCGGTGGGTGAGTGTTGATGTGTGTTGTTGATGGTGGAGGAGGGTAGGGAGTGTGTGGATGTGTGGTGTAACCGGCGGTTGTCTACCGCAGGTCGTCGTGGATGCGCATGTGGCCGAATAGGCCCAAACGATGTCTGAAAGTGCGAGGACAGTGTGGGCAGTGAAGGCGAGCTTGGTGGGTATAGGTTGGTGCTCCAGGCACTGGTTCGCCAGTCTCTGTGCGTTGGATTCGCAAGTGACCGACCAGGCCGATGCGAGAGGTGAATGTGCGTGCACAGTGTGGGCACGTGAAGTCGGCGGCGTCAGTGTCAGCTACAGAGGAGGCGTTGGTGGTGGTGCGGACGGATGGTGCGAGGGTGGTGCTGGGCATGACGGGCGTGGTTGTTGTATCGGAATTGTGGTCAATTCCGCTCTCGTGGGTGCGCATGTGGCCGAATAGACCCATGCGGTGCGTGAAGGTGCGAGGGCAGTGTGGGCAGTGGAGGCGAGTACGGTGGGTGTAGGTTGGTGCGCTAGGCACTGGTTCGCCAGTCTCTGTGCGATGGATTCGCAAGTGACCGACCAGGCCGATGCGTGAGGTGAAGGTGCGATCACAGTGAGGGCAGATGTAGTCCTGGCCCTCACGTCTGATGATGCAGGTGGCAGGGTTTTTGCCTGTTGTTGTGTCGGGTGCGGCTGTGGTGAAGTCGTGGGCGACAGACGCCGAGGCGGCCGTCGTTGTGGCAGTGAAGGCGGAAGAGGAGTAGGAGGGGGAGGAGTGAGGGGTGGAAAAGTCGGTGGCATCGACGGCGGTTGCAGAGAGGTTGGTGGGTGCACAAGGTGATGAACTGGGAGTGGGGGCTAGCGTTGTGGGTGTGTCAAGGCTGCGGTCAATGCCGCTCTCATGGATGCACATGTGGCCGAATAGACCCATGCGATGAGTGAAGGTGCGAGGGCAGTGCGGGCAGTGGAGGCGAGTGCGGTGGGTGTAGGTTGGTGCTCCAGGCACTGGTTCGCCAGCCTCTGTGCGATGGATTCGCAAGTGACCTACCAGGCCGATGCGTGAGGTGAAGGTGCCTGGGCAACGTGGGCATGAGAGGTCGGCGGTGTCGGTGTCAGCTGTAGAGGAAGCAGTGATATTGGTGGTGGTGGTGGTGTTGGTGGTGATGGGCGCGTGTGGCGGTGGAGAGAGGGTGGGGCTGGGCGTGGTGGATGTCGTGGGTGTGTCGGGAGTGCGGTCAATGCCGCTCTCGTGGATGCGCATGTGACCAAATAGGCCCATGCGATGTCTGAAGGAGCGAGGGCAATGTGGGCAGTGGAGACGAGTGCGGTGAGTATAGGTTGGTGCTCCAGGCACTGGTTCGCCAGTCTCCGTGCGATGGATTCGCAAGTGACCGACCAGGCCGATGTGTGAGGTGAAGGTGCGGTCGCAGTGAGGGCAGGTGTAGTACTGGTCCTCATCGCTCGAGTCCGGAGAGGTGGGGGTGGTGTCGGTTGTTGTGTCGCCGTTGGCGATGTGCGAGACGGCCGCCTGAGCGGCCGCCGTAGGGGCAGCGATGGAGGAGGAGGAGGAGGAGGAGGAGGAGGCGGAGGAGAAGGAGGAGGAGGAGGAGGAGGAGGAGGACGAGGACGAGGAGGATGGAAGTGGTGGTTCAGAAGAATTGTCAGAGTTAGTTGGCGGCGGAGAGGATGAGGAAGAGGAGGGCGGGGGGACGATGGTTGGTGCACTTCGAGAGGTGCAGTCGATCCGAAGATGTCCAACAAGTCCGATTCGAGGCCGGAATGTCCGTTGACATCGAGGACACGTAGGGAGAGGTCGTGCGGCGGCGTTGCGGACTGGGCGAAGTTGTGATTTGCGGGCTTCCCGTTTTGCTTTGGCGGCAGCGATGCGGTTGGCTTCGTAGATCGCAGCGCCTGTCTTCACTGTCCTCCTCCAGGTCGGTCGATCGAGTGCGAGCTCCTCACAGTTAGTGGGGCTGATTTGCAGGCATTTCATGGAGGACTTCAGAGTATCCTTGTAACGGCGACTCTGGCCTCCTTGACGGCGAGAACCCGTCGCGACGTCTCCGTAGAAGAGTCGTTTGGGTAGTCGCTCGTCGTCCATGCGCACCAGGTGGCCGCTCCAGCGCAGCTGCATTTGCCTCAGTATGGCGTAGATGCTGAGGATTCCCGTCCGTTCCAGCACATCAGTGTCGGGGATTCGATCCTGCCAGTTCAGCCTCAGGATGCGACGGAGACAACTGAGGTGGAAGTGGTTCAGTCGGCGTGCCTGTCTCGTGTACACCGTCCATGTCTCTGCTCCGTACAGTAACGTCGGCAGGATGACGGCCTTGTACATCTTCAGCTTTGTGCTCAGTTGGAGACCATGACGATTCCAAACTGTGCTGTGGAGGCGACCGAAGGCCTGACTGGCTTTCGAGATTTGGTTGGCGACTTCGTCATCGATCTTTGTGTTGCGAGATAGGGTACTTCCCAGGTACGGAAAGTTCTCCACCACTTGCAGTTGGGTTCCGTTCACGCTGATTTGCGGCGGCGCGTTGGGGGCTGTGGCTGATTTGGGTGGCGGTTGATGCATCACCACCGTCTTCTGCGTGTTGATAACCAGCCCAAAGTTCTCGCAGGCGGCGGAGAATAGGTCCATGCTCCGTTGCATCTCCTCTTCCGAGGGTGTGTTTAGGGCGCAGTCGTCGGCGAAGAGGAGTTCGTGCACGGTAGTTGTGGATACACGCGATTGGAAGTTCATGCGCCGTTGATTCAAGAGATGACCTTCCGTTCTGTAGGCGATGCGGATTTCAGGGTGTTCGTCGCGGTAGGCGTCCATCAGCATGGCAGAGAACATAAGACTGAAGAGGGTTGGTGCCAGCACGCATCCCTGCTTCACTCCGTTGGTCACTGCGAATGCCTCTGAGACAGTTCCGTTGTCCGTGACTCGCGCCATCATACCGTCGTGCAGCTGACACACCATCTGAGTGAATCGCTACGGACAGCCGAAGTTCTGCATGATCTTCCACAGTCCTTCACGATTCACCGTGTCAAAGGCTTTCGTCAGGTCCACGAAGGTAGAGTACAGGTGGGTCCGCATCTCCTGGCACTTCTCCTGTAGTTGGCGGGCGGCGAAGATCATATCCGTAGTCCCACGACGACGACGGAAGCCGCATTGGCTTTCCGCAGTAGACCCTGTCCGAGATGGTTATTGAGGCGGTTGAGAAGGATGCGATCGAAGATCTTCCCGGCGATGTTCAGTAGGGAGATGCCACGGTGATTGTCACAGACTTGGCGGTTCCCCTTTCGCTTGTAGAGATGCACGATGGTTGCGTCCTTGAAATCTTGCAGGACTTCACCTTGACGCCACATCTCCTGGAAGAGCGCAGTCAGGTGATCCATGAGTTGGGGACCTCCGTGCTTGTAGACCTCAGCAGGGATCGCGTCCGATCCGGGTGCTTTCTCGCTAGAGAGCTGCTGCACGACCCTGATGGTTTCCAGGAGAGATGGCGGGAGGTCGAGGTCCGCGTTGTTCTCCACTTGCGGCAAACGCTCGATGGCGGCGTCAGAGATGGCGGAAGGGCGGTTGAGGACGCCTCGGAAATGCTCGGCCCATCGCTGCAAGATTTGCGTCTTCTCAGTCAGGAGAGTGTTGCCGTCGGCGCTGAGGAGAGGAGAAGTGCCCTTCGTCGGCGGACCGTAGACAGCTTTGATCGCGGAGAAGAAGTTCTTCCATTCGTTGCGGTCCGCGTAGCCTTGGATCTCCTCAGCTTTGCGAGCAGTCCAAGCGTCCTGCATCTCGCGCAGTCGTCGCTGAAGCTGTCGGCGACTGCGGTAGAAGGCAGCTTTGTTGTCCTCAGTGGGGTGATCTACGTAGGCTTTGTGTAGGCGGTTCTTCTCGGCGAGCAGATTGCTGATGACGGCATCGTTGTCGTCGAACCAGTCCTGGTGTTGGCGACGTTCGCGAACGAGGACGGATAGCGCTGTCGTCTGGACTGTGTCTCGCAGTTGGCACCATCGGTTCTCCACGGAGGCGTTCTCGGCATCGGGGGCGTCTGCGGCAGCAGCGATAGGAAGGTTGTCTAGCCGTTGAGCTAGCTCATTGCTGAAATGGAGGCGGTGAGCGGACAAAGACAACAAAGCAACATTCAGCTTACCTGGGGGTCGCTTACCTTGAGGTCTCCTGCGAGGCTGTAGGCGAATACGCATCTTCGAGATGACGAGGCGATGGTCGGTCCACCCGTCTGCTCCCGCGATCGCCTTCGTCACCAGCACGTCCCGCTGATCTCGCCTCCGGACGAGGACATAGTCCAGCAGCTGCCACTGGCGCGACCGAGGATGCCTCCAGGTGGCCTTCCCTCGCTCCGGCAGACAGAAGAACGTGTTTGTCAGGATGAGGCGGTGTTCTGCGCAGGTGCGGAGCAGCAGCAGACCATTATCGTTTGAGCCGGGGAGACCGTGGGGACCCAGCACTCCCCTCCAGGCAGTATGGTCTGTGCCGACGCGGGCGTTGAAGTCACCAAGGACAATCAACTTGTCCGCCTTCGACACAGTCGCCAAGAGTGCGTGCAGGTCCTCGTAGAATTTGTCTCTTGCGGCGGCGTCGGGGCTGCTCATCGGCGGAGCGTAGGCGCTGATGATGGTGGCGAATTTGCCCCCACCTCCGAGAGGCAGACGGAGGCTCATCAGGCGATCGTTGATGCCCTGCGGCAGACAGGGCAGTCGTCCCACGATGTCGGTCCGGATGGCAAAGGCGACACCCGCGTCACGTCGCTCTGCCCTGGGTCGACCGCTCCAGAAGAACGTGTAGCCGGCACCCACCTCCTCCAGTTGGCCTAGTTCGGAGAATCGGGTCTCGCTGAGTGCGGCGATGTCCACCTTGTAACGCGCCAGTTCTCGTGCCACTAGCGCCGTCCTCCGTTCCGGTCGGTTGCTCCTCGGATTGTCTAAAAGGGAACGAACATTCCAGGCTGCCAGAGTGAGCGGGCTCACCCTGCCAGTCTGGCGACTGAGGCGGCGAAAAGTAGGAGTAGGAGAAGAAGAAGAATAGGCTGGAAGAGGAAGAGAGTGATTGTTGTTGTTGTTGTTGTTTCGGTTTTGGCTGTTTTGACCGTGTGTTTTTTGTCTGCGGCCACGGCCAGCCTACAGACAGCGTGGTTCCCAGCGATCTTTAGGGCACCTTTTCTAGCCCTCTCCCCCTCGCGGGGGCAGGCAACGCATCCCTGAACAGGGCTGCCCGGTTATCCCAGACGGCTGCGGACTCCACTATGGGCCACGACTTTTGTTAGTGAGAGAACTACCCGAATTAGCCTGGGACCTTGGTGGTGATGGTGATGTGATGGAGTGAAGTAGGAGAGAGCATACACACAACCTAACGCTATGGGACTTACAGCTAGCTAGAGTGGACAAACAGACACAGTCATCAGTCAGAGACAGAAGTGAGAGGGCACCATTCAAGTGTCAATCACCGTAACACCTAGCTATTAGCAGAGAGAGGCATAAACTGACAGACAGACAGTCGCAGCAGGCAGCGAGGGTTTCGTCTAGCTATTAGCAGACAGACTAGCATACAGAAGGCAGGCAGCAAGAGCAGCATACGACAAGGAACTTCAACAGAAAAAGGAAGAAACAGAGCAAATTCACTTGCATGAGGGGGAACTTACCTGGTGGCCTCCTGCGATGGTCCAGGCAGAGCCTCGTCTCGACGATGTCGACGCGAAGATCCATCCGGCCAGCGCAGACCACAGTACCGCGCGTGCAGGTGCACGCACGAATACCCTCACCTGGTTTATCCCGCCGGTCGAGACGGTTGCCCGGGATGTGGCCGCTGAGCAGAGCCCAGCTACGTGGAGCCACAGGTGAGAGTTGAGTGCCAGCAAGTGGACGCTAGGCGTAGTCTCACCTGCAAGCAAGTGAGCGACCACTACGACCTTCACGTGAACCCACCGCTGACACCCCTACACCCCAGCAAACACACACCCCTCATCGTTCACTTAAACCTTACTTTAATAAATTGCTCCGGTAGAATAAAGCTGTCGCATGCACAACTCACAACATAGATCCAGTCAAGAAGATCTAGGCAGTGGTCACAACATCTGTCAGAACAGAAAATGTGTAGGCAACTCCAACAGCGTATAATGCATTTTCGAGTCGCGTCTAAGTTGACTTTCTCCACTGTGCGTCTGGCCTGGAGCGCTCTTTTGTTAGGCACACTGGCATGAGCTAATTTGCATCGTAGTTATTTGCATCTAAAGGAATTCATGGTAGACAACACCTGTGGGAATCTGAACTTGCTGCTGGTAATGACGTTCTACCATCAGAAGCAAAGTACATGAAAACAGAAAGTAAGGGTGTGTGCTGAAGTACTTGACTACTTGACCTTTGACAATCTTGTCACGTTTGTTTTACTGTAGCATTTGTTTTAACGTGACGAAGACTCCGCCGCTTGTAAGCTTCGCGCCGCTTGCATGCTCTCTGGTCAGGTCGTTGCACATTTTGAATATTAATTTTATTCACTTTCTGGCCTTCCTTACCTCTCTCCGTTTATGAGGTTAGTAAGCCGTAGTTCGTTAGTTCGCGGGAACGACATAACTTACGTCAGGTGATGCCCCCTATTTTTTGCAGATACTTGTACTCAGTCTTGTTTTGTCCCTGCAAAGGACCGCGTGGGAGTTGTGCTGGATCAATTCCTGGGCAAGATGAAGGCAGGGCACACAGTATCGGACTGTGCACGCATTAAAATCGTCTACCATAAAGTGTGGTGGCACGCCTAGTTGCAGGCTCGCAGCGCACCAGCCACCTGCGCCCTCTCCCGACTCCGCTGCTGACTCTGTTTTGACACCGGATCCAGGAGGGGTAGAAAAGAGCGAGTGCGGTAGATGCAGTGCAAGTCTACCATCAGTGCAAACTAATCTGCATCCACCCTGCTGCGGGTCACACAGGGGACATCGCCAGAGAAGACGATCGAGCTGGCATTTCGAAATAATCGTGTATTTTCTACACGAATGGCCTTTTTATGACCAACAAGCGTAGGGTGTTCTAACCCCTGATTTAAACTTTTGACCACCACAACGGCCTGTGCTGCAGATGCGTTAGATCAGGACGGCGGTCATATTGACTCTCGAGCTGCGCTGAGTCCGCACGAGTCCATAGCCATTGTCGCACTTGCCTGTGTGTGGTGACACACCTTAAACGCATACCTTCATAGCGCACCAGTTACTGCGCCCAGTTCAAGCTAACAGTTGGCTGAGAGTCGTAGTATGAACAGTTGCCAACTGACAGGATAACTGAGTCGTTATGGGGACAAAGAGTCAGGCTGCAATAGATCCTTCTTAAACTTACCTTTATGGCGCGTAGACAGTCTGTTTAACCATGTCAGCCGCTGAGAGCCCATCAGTCTTTATCCTACCATCGTAGTAGGGTGTACGCTGGGGTCAGTTAGGTACATGAAGTCACATTCTACTGCCCTATAAAAGAGTATACACACAAGTCGTCGTTGCTTGGCTCACCTAGTAGAGACGGCGGTGGGCATGATTTTTCCTGATGATCGAACCTTTAGGTTCAGGTTACTTCGAAGGCTGGTCTCCGGTGTCGGACGAACTTCCGCATTTCTTATTCAACGTACCGGCTACTCGGGTATGACTGAGTGACGACGGCTAGTAAGCCAGAAATGGCCATCCCAGTCTCCCCCCTGACTTTGTCCGTAATGCTCTTCTGCTACCAAATCATCACAATGCTTATACGTCACCAAATAAAATTCAGTGACTTTCCCAACTTAACCGAAGTTTTTTGTGTTGCCTTGAAATCTCAACCATGGGCAGGGCTTTAAGGTATTCGATGCCAGCTGTAGTAGTATCCATCTGAAGCTGTGTAGGCGGAAACAAACTTTCTGTTTTCACTCGGATGGTTAATGCACAAGAGAGCTATCTTTTCTCCACGTCTCTGACTTCTGTCTCGAATAAATGATGTGCGAGAAAGGCAGAG